ATCATATTGAAAAGGCTTCTAACTTTTCTCTATTACATATAATGGTTGTTCCTGTTTTTTTAGACAGACACAACTTACCATATCAAGGAAAGGTCTATTTATTCTTATATTTTCTACATTTAAAAGAAAAAATATGTCACATTTTGTCAAAAGCCTTTTTAGAATCTATTGACATAATCACATGTTTTTATTATTTTGTTATTGATATTGTCTATTATATTCATAGTTTTCCTTATACCGAACCAACCTTGCATACCTAATATAAATCCAACATAATCATAGTATATAATCTTTTCAATATGTTGCTGTAGTCTACTTGCTAATATTTTAATTAATATTTTATATCTATTAGTTAGGGATACTGGCGTTGAGCATTATTTCTTTGCTTTGCTTCATCTCTCCCTGGTTTAGGTATCAAGACTATATTTACATGATAAAAATAATTTGGAAGGGCCCACTCTTTTCTTATTTTTGTAAACAGTTAAATACTATACTTAATTGTTCTTTAATTATTGATAAAAATTCACATGAAAATTCATCTGGTCTTTCTACAAGCTTTTTTTTCCTTTGGGAAATTTATTTGCAGCATGTTCAATTTCTTTTTTTCTAAAATTGAGTTGTTTAAAAACCTATTTCTTATTCTATTAATTTGAACATTTTACATTTTGGTAAGTGGTCATCCATATTACCTAAGTTATCAGTTTTGCTGACACATAATTAGGCAAAACAATTTTTGATAGTTTCCTTTGTTTTCTCTTCATCTGTTTTGAATATTTTCATTTTTATAAGAATTATTTGGTTTTCTACTATTTTAATCACACTAGATAATTGTTTATGTTAATGTTTTAACCTCCTAATTTTATAAATACAATATCTTTGTTTTTGTCTTTGCTTTCAAATTTATTAATCTCTTCTTTGATTTTTAGAATTTCTACTTTAGTGTTTAAAGATTTTTAATCTGTCACTTTTCTAGTCTTTTTTTAGTTGTTTACCCAATTCATTGACTTGTTCTTTTCTTTTTTGTTGATAGGAGTATTTAGAGATATAATTTCTCCTATGGACTATTTTAGCTGTATCCCATAAAGCTTTGAATATTATCTAATTGCTGTCACTTACTTGATGCAATTTTCTTTTGTTTCTGAGATTTGTTCTTTGACTTACAAGTTCTTTAGGATTGATTATTTGATTTCCAACTAAATTTTATTTTTTTAATTTAAAAGCCCTTTATTGAAAAAAAAAAGAGAGAAAAAGCCCTTTATTGAATATACCTTTATTAAATTGAGGTCTCTAAAGGATGCTTTTAGTACCTCTGCCTTACTGTATTTGTTTATGATGTTTTTATGCCCCATTGTATGGGTAATCTTTGTAAAGGTCCTATGCATGGCTGAGAAGTATGTAATTTCCTTTCTTTTTCCTATTTGTAAGCACTAGAGACCTATCATCTCTATTTTTTCCAAAATTCTGTTAAAGTCCTTACCTTGTTTCTGTTTATCTTTTTTGTTAGATTTTCTAGGTCTGAAAAGGATACAATGAAGTCTCATTATTATAGTTTTACTTTCTCTGCAATTCAATTAACTTTTCTTTTAAGTACTTAGATGTTATTCAATTAGGTGGATATGTATCAATTATTGACATTGATTCATCATCTTTGATGGCTGTAAGCACAATGCAATTTCCCTGATTATCTCTTTTTTACGATATGTACTTTTACTACAGTTTTATCTGAAATCATGTGTGGTACTTCTTTTTTTTTTTTTCAGTTCACCTAAAGCATAATTCTGCTCCAGACTCTCATCTTAGCTTTAGGTGAATCTTTGTGCCTTTTGTTGTGTGTGTGTGTGTGGGGGGGGGGTTGTAGACATGTTGTGGGTTCTACTTCCTAATTTTTCTGCTATCTTTTTCTGTTGATAAGTGAGTTCACCCCATTTGTGTTCACTGACATGACTGTTAATTATGAATTTCCCTCAATTTTGTCATTTTGTACTTTTTCCTCTATTGCTCCTCCTTTCTCCCTTTATAAAGAAGGTGGCCAAAAGGGTTTTCCCTAATGCTTGTGGCCTATGAAATGGCAAGATATGCTTCTGCTCCATTGTCCCTCCTCTCTCCTCCATACTCAGTTCCTGATCACAGGTTTCTACTGTTTCTTTCTTTCCTTTTAAGCCTCCCTTCATACTGCCTTCTAATTTTCACTACACTAGCTGCTTCTCAATAGTACTAGGTAGGGAGGTACATACAAGAAAAGTGTGCTACCTCAGATGAGATTGATATATATAATCTATCCATATCTATGGATAGAATTTGCTTTGCTTATGCCTATTACCTTAACCTATTCTGCCTTTTCTCTTAAACCTACCTCTTAAACTTCAAACCTATTACTCCCCATCCCTGTCACCGCTTATTTCTTCAATGAGTTTAATGTATTTCTATATCATGCTCTCTGTGTTCAATCCTCCTTTGTCCAATTCAGATGAAAGAGAGGCTTATGGGATGCCCATTCCAACCCCTTCTTCCATGTTTGTCATACTTCATATTATTAAATAGCAAAAAGGTCGGCTACAGAAAGAAAAAAAAAGAGGCTCCCAAAATATCTACAACCTGGATACATATACTGTGAATAATAAATAAGGAAGATTATAAGACTGTAAGCTCCTCAAGGGCAGGGGACACATCAGCAACATCATCATCATTGTTCACATTTATTCAGTGCTTTCTAAGGTTTGCAAGGGACAGTTGGATAGGGTGCCAGGCTTAGAGTCAGAAAGACTCATCTTCCTGAGTTCAAATCTGGCCTCAGACATTTACTAACTGGGTAGCCCTAGACAAGTCACTTTAACCTTGTTTGTCTCAGGTCCTCATCTACAAGCAAGAGAAGGAAATGACAAACCACTACAGTATCTTGGCCAAGAAAACCCCAAATAGAGTCACAAAGAGTCAGACGTGATTGAAATGACTTAACAACAAGAAGGTTTGCAAAGACCTTTATTTACATTATAGGTGGCCCAGTATATATAGCACTGGATCTAAAATGAGGAAGACCTGAGTTCAAATTTCAGATGCTTAATAGCTATGTGACGCTAGGTAAGTCTCTCAACCTCTGTCTGCCTGTTTCCTAATCTGCAGAGTGAAGATAATAATAGCACATACTCCCAGGATTGTTATGAGGATAAAATTTGGTAATATTTGAAAAGCATTTTATAAATTATACATATATGTATGTATATGTATATGTATATGTATATGTATATGTATATGTATATGTATATGTATATGTATATGTATATGTATATGTATATGTATATGTATATGTATATGTATATGTATATGTATATGTATATGTATATGTATATGTGTGTACAGATATGGATAGATCACATATAGATATGTATATACATATGTGTGTGTGTGTATTTATAATCTCATCTGAGATAGCATGCTTCTCTTGCATGTCCCTCCCTACCTAGTACTATTGAGAAGCAGCTGGTATAGTGAAAAGAACTCTGGATGGGAAGCTAGGAGACCTGAGTTCTAGCCCTAACTCCACACTAATTAGCTATGGTACATAATGATGGGGATGTGGAGGGGGATGATGATGATGACGATGAGTAGCTAGCACTTATATAAAGTTTTAGCATTTTCAAAGCACTTAACATATATTATCTCATCTCATCTCAAGGTAGTTTCTTCATCTTTAAAATGACTAGGTTGGGTTATAAGATGATCTCTCAGGTGCCTTGCAGTTCTGAAATTCCCTATTTGTAGGCAGTAAATGTCTCTTTCAGTAGTTATTGAATGGAACTGAATCCTGTCCTCATTTCTAGGTACCAGTCCATGTCACCAGGTGCATCTCCAATGTGCTGCACCACTTACACAATTTTGAGTTTTAGCATCATTGATAAGAAAAAAAAAAGTCTAAACTAAATCTCCTTTTGAAACCATGGCTCATGTGTAATTTAGTCAGGGATCCTTCTTCCAGTATACTCTGCACATCTAATTTAAGATGAGAGGTAAAGGGTTGGGGGTGGAGGAGAAAAGAGAGAGTGGATTCCCAGAGATGCATATATAGCCTGGTAGGAACTGGTAGGTGAGCACTTAGTTGTCCATAGAAATGGAAGATGGGTAATGTTTTACCCATAAGGGACCATTAAGATGCTCAGAGATGAAAAATATGAGGGTTTCTATTACAAAATAAAATGAAGTACAAGTAAAATGGAGACAGAATTGACAGAAAAAGAGGCTGCTGGATGAAATGTGAGGGGGAAAGCAAAGCATTTCTTTGAGCCTGCATTTAGGAGTCCTGTCCATTGTATCTGCAAGGCCAGTACCCAGAACCTTATAAACAATCTGAACAAAAGAATTTGCCACTAATCCATGAGAATAGAGACACTAAAAATGAATGCTTTGGGATCAACTAATATTTTCTAGCTTCAAAAGCCAGAGGCAATATATGTGTATATCTCCACATATACAGACACATTGTTCATAATAAGGGTGAATCTATAACAGAATTTGAATAGCCTACCTTATGACAAATGATACTTAATAGCATACAGGCTGAAGTGAACTGGGAATAGTAAGAAAATAGATTTTTTGGCTCTCATTTAAGAATAATTCTTATGAAACATAGTCCTTCAATAGAGGAAAATAAAGCCAGCCTTTCCCACATTTTTGTTTGTGATTTGACTCTCCTTTCAGACTGAAAAACAGAGTAAGTTCGACAAGGTAACAAACAGAAACAAAATAAAGTTTCACTTAAAAAAATCTTGGCTCAAAAGTAAGGCAAAAAAAGTAAGAATATTGGTGAGTACAATCATAATGTCAGAGAAAGAGCATTGGATTGGAAATCAAGAAAGCCAGCTTCTCATTATAACATTGATCTAATTTACTATGTTACCTTGAACAACTCACTTCCCCTAGATTTATAACTAGTAATTATTCTAGTAACTGGGGTAAATATCATTGGAAGTGGAGGGGAGTGGGGGAGGGGTCCCAAAGAAGGGACCATGGGCATTGGGACACAAAGTTCCCTGGTGGGGAGGGAGAGCCCCTGGAATACCCTTATGCTGAGAGGCTGCTACCTGAGCAGAAAGCAGGCTAATGACCAGATAGAAAGAGGCTCACCTGCTGGTAAGAAGGTACAGGACTCCAACCTTCATCACCACATATCGCACCATGTGTAGCTTTCATTTGAATTACTCTTTGTCATGGTCAGATGACGTCTTGCTGGAGGAAAGACAGCTTAGACTCCCTCCAAAAATGTCTTCATTACCACGGTACACCCCATGGTCCTTGTACAAGTAGAAGCCCAGGAGGTGACAGAAAGCAAAAAGTGGGCACAGCGGCAATAACTCTCTTGACCTTGAGATTTTTGTATTGAGAAGAGACTTGTGGTTTAACAGGCTGGCCACTTAGCCCTAAGAATGGAGCACAAAAAACTGGATACCCAAATCAAGATGATGGAGCAAAGTTACCATAAATTCATGGTCATGGCATGCATGGGGTTGGCAAAAGGCTGCTATCTGTAGAGAATAATGGGATGGGGGGTGATAGGAGGAAAAAACAATCTTCCTAAATGTTTGGCATTCAGGTTTCACATCTGCAAAATGGAAACATTCATGTTGTAGTACCTACCTTTCAGGGTTATTGTAAAGGTCAAAGGCTATAATGAATATAACATGTATTGATAACCTTAAAGCTACACATACATATATACCAATTATTGCTGTTGTTATCTCATTCTTTTTTAATAATGTCCAGATAGAAATGGTCCTGGAACAAATCAGCATGCTGCTACTATTCCTTTGCATTTAATGTTCTACATATTATTTCCCAGGTTGATGCGATAACTGCTTTCTGTAACTAAATTACAGCTAGATAGCAGAGTAGATAGAGTGCTAGATCTGGAGTCAGGAAGACTCAACTTTGTGAGTTAAAATATGACCTGAGACACTTACTAGCTGTGTGACCCTGGGCAAGTCATTTAATTCTGATTGCATCAGTTTCCTCATCTATAAAATGAGCTGGAGAAAGAAATGGCAAACCCCTCCAGTATCTTTGCTGAGAAAACTCTAAATGGGGTCACAAAGAGTCAAACAGAACTGAAATGAACACACACACATACACACACACACACACACACACACACACACACACACATACTAAAATGTAAGCTAATTCTCTGAGAACAGGGATAATAAGTGACATATCCAGCTCCCATGTGATTTTGACCTCTTTTGCTAGCTCTTTAGATTTTGAAAGCATTTTATTCCTTGTAGCTTGGAGATTACGAGACTAGATAACAACCACAACCACTACCATCTACTAAAAATGTTACTCAAGTTTTTGTGGAACAATGTTATGTTCAAAATACTGTGGGCAAAAGTTTGGTCCGTGACATAGTATAACTGCCATAGGTTTTTGGTTGAGCTCACTGGGATATTTTGAATTCTATATTTGCAGTATGAAGATTTGTCATCTGTCAGTCTATGACAGAGGATGAACTTCTAATGTGGAATTCCATCCATGACGCCATGTCTTGGTAGGTAAATACTAAACTTTTACAGCCTACAGTGATATGTCACACCATTTCTATAGTTTCCTTGCAAAACTTTCATCAACCACTAAGTTCAGGTTCCTTGCAAATAACCATTATATAATTTCCAATGGCCCAGCTTGTCCCTGGCTTTCCATCATAATCCATTTCATTTGTACAAACGAATGTGCATGACTCAGCCATTTGTTCAATCTTCTTTGTCAACACAGAGTTATCTGAGTTTATGGATGTCAGTGTTTCCCACGAAAGGCCTTTTCATTTTTTTGTCATTTCATAGGATCCATCTGATGTAAAGTACTTTTATTACATTTTAAAAATCTAATGATATCTACCTATGTCAGCCTTTCCAGTTTCTCAGTGATGTCTATTTATTCCAAAAGTACTTCTGTAGTAGGTTTGTGTCCTGTTAACCATGTACTCTTAGATGGCAATCATCATCATCATCATCATCAATTATTGTCATTACTATTATGTAATCATTCTCATCTTTTTATGGAGTACAGATAGAAAAGGTTCTCCTACTATTATTGTTTTATATGTGATGCCCTACAGACTACTGAGAATGTACGAAAAGAAAATAATCTCATAGTTGAATAAAAATATTAGAATGTAAGGTAAGCTCACTGAAAGCATGCTCGCTCAGTAAGGTTGTAGTTTCTTTTCCCTTTTTTCTTTTTCTTCCTTCTTCTTTATTTTCTTCTTCTCTTCTTCCTCCTCCTCCTTCTCCTTTTCCTCCTTCTCTTCTTCCTTCTTCTCTTCTCCTCTTCTTCCTTCTCTATCAGAATATGAAAAAATAAGAGGTTCTTAAGCTTTTTGTGCCATAGACCCCTTTGGCAGTCTAGGGAAGACTACGAACCCCTTCTCAGAATAATATTTTTAAATATATAATTCATAGATGACATTACAAAGGAAACTATATTGAAATAGTTATTAATCATTTTTAACACGTTGGATGCCAGGTTAAGAACTCCTAGACTCTATGACTTCCAAGATATCTTCCAGTTGTAACATTTTAGGACTAAGTGTTATGGCTCCTGTTCATCCCAACTTCTTTTCTCTGACCTCTATTTGGTGTGTGTTTTAGATTGACCCATTTATATGTCCATACATTGGCTGATTGTATAATTCTTAGATCTCCATAGAAAGGCCAATATTTCTCATTCCAGAAACCTCAAGCAAGGTCACATAATAAATTCATTTGTGGTGTCAAGATGACAATATTCCATTACAGTGATAGTGTCGATTTAAAAAACCTAATCCCCCACAAATTAGGAAGGATTTTCAAGGTAAGAAAATGCTTAGTGTGAAAGTTACCGATGGTCATAGCTGTAACATGAATTTCAATTATAAAGGCATCTCAAGCTAAGAGATTAACAGTTACTGTGGATTTTCTAAAATATATGTATATAACTGCATCTTGAGAATTCTGAAATCTAGATTTCAATTAGGAGTAATTAGGTTTCCAGATTCTTTGATTATAGTTTCTCATGAAATGACAAACTTACATCCTCAGAATATTGATCAGCTTCTATTATCCCAACATCCTCGCTCCCTTAAATTCCATCTCCCCTTTTTTATTCTTCACATGAATCAAGCCAATGGACTGCCACCAATTACAACATTTTTCAGAGGACGGTTCAGATTCCAAAGGGGCAGCCCAAACCAGAAATTCCTACAGATAATTCTAATGTGTAATCTAATCCCATGAACTGCAGAATACATCAAGATAGAAAGTTAGACCCCCATCTTCACCTTCAGGTACTTTTCCCTACACCAAGCAGTGATCCAGAAAAAAACATGACTCTGGGGTTAAAACACTTTTAAAAAGAATACAGAATGATGGGAAGCAGAGTCACACAGTAAGAATGCCTTGATTCAAAGGAATTGGGTTAAAATCCCAGCTCTGTAACTTAATATGTGGGCGATCTTGGTCAACTCTTAAAATACTCATCTCATTTTGTAATATGAAGATTTGGTTTTTTTCCAATTCTATGATCATATTATACTATCCTTCTAAAGAAAAAGACAAAAGCCTGTGCCTGGTACTCAGGGATCTCTACCTTGCCAGTCTTATACCCTCTTCATGTATTCTCCATTACAAAGTGGCTGGCTAGCAGTTCTGCCTAAAGGTCATTGAATCTCCCACCTCTGAATTTTTGTATTTCCTCATGCCTAGAATGCCTTCCCTCCTTGCGTCTCACTTTGAGAATCCTTAGCTTCCTTCATGGCACAGCTTGGTGGGAAAATTAGTGAATGGAAGGTTAAAGAAATTAGGTCTCCAATTTCCTTTTATATACCAAGAACATAAGTTGGAAAGATCCTAAGAAAATTGCCAGGCTCCTTTTTCCTATTAACTTGCCTTCTTCTCTCTCCTTTCCCAGTGAACCTATCCCCGTCCTCTGACACATCTGTCTATATTCCTTGGAGGCAGGGAAGGAGATGAAGGCATGTTCTGAAACCATCTCACTGAATAGTAATGCATTTAACTTGTTCTTATACCACTAACTCTGTTTATTCTTTTCTAGCCACCATCATACCAGATGCCAAGTGAGCTCCTTGACTTTGATGGAACTTCCCAGACCCCCCCCTCTTTCCTTACAGTTTGTCTACATCTCTTTATTAATAATACTTACTAGCATTTATATAGTATTCTGCACACACAATCACATTTGATCTTTACAACCACCCTGTGAGGTAGACACTTTTTTTTTTGAGGTAGCAAATAATGAACTGGACTTATAGAAACACCCAAGCCACTGGGGGCAGCGAGGTGGCACAGGAGATAGAGCACTGGTCCTGAAGTCAGGAGGACCTGAGTTCAAATCCCGCCTCAGACACATAACACTTACTAGCTATGTGATTCTGAGCAAAGTCACTTAACTTCAACTGCCTTATCAAAAAAAAAAAAAAAAAGACTCAAGCTTGAGACCTATCTCTGACATTTGCTTACTCTGTGGCTCTGGGCAATTTACCTAACTTCTTAATCTCAGTTTTCTCGCCTGTAAAATAGGGATAATATTAACCTCTACCTCATAGGATCTTTGTGAGGATTAAATTATTTACATCCAGTGCTTTGCAAACCTTAAAGTGTCATATAAATGCTATTATTATTGCTTTGAACCAGACTTGTGACTTAATTTGTATATGGAACTCCAAAAAATAAAATTCCCTCTTCCAATACAGATAAGCACTTATTCTAGAACTATAGTCTTAGAGAAAAGCTTGGAACATTGAAAGATTAAGTGATTTGGCCAGTCATATAGCTAGTATGTATCAAAGATAGACTTGACCCTAGGTTGCCCAGATTTCAAGGTCAGTTCTTTACCACCACATAAACTGCCTTCCACTAAGACAGATAGGCACTATAGATTTTAGGAACCCCATTTCATAGAAAAGAAAGCTGAGTTTTGGCAAGAGTAAGTAACTTAAAATCATAGGATCATAGCTTTAGAGCTGAAAGGGGCCTCTAAAGTCACAGATTCCAATCTCTTCATTTTACAAATGAGGAAACTGAGGCCCACAGAGGTTAAATAACTTGCCCAAGGATACACACATAGTAAGTGGCAGAGTTCGGATTTGGATTTACATCTTCTAGCTCTAAATCCACCTCTCTTTCTTTGCCTTCAGAAGGCTTTAATATGCAGATTGCTTTTGGGGCAAAGACTGATCTTCCAAAGGCATTTATATCATCATCCTCATCATCACTACTTCCAACCCTTTTATTTAATCTCCAAGTCTATCAAGCAGCATCTGCCAATCTATTCTGTATATAGAAAACAGCTTGTCCAGTTTTCAAATCACTTAAATAATTATTGGAAAGGTCTCCTTGTAGGTGCTGGTATTATGGCATGGTGAAATCAGTATTGGCTTTGAAGTCAAGAGATCTGGGTTCAAATCATCACTGAGAACAATAAACAAATGCACATAATGCATACGTTAAATGTACATTTTCTCTGATACGTATGTATCTATATATCTATATGTGTGTTTGTATGTTTACATACGGCTTACAGCATCATGAGAAGTGTCTGTTGGTTTGTTTTGAAAGCCAAGTGCCAAGTCCCTTGCTGACAATTCGTGCTCTGACATATGTATGTTTTCCTATATGTTTCAAAGTGTTTTTTTTTTTAAACAATACATCTTGACCTCTGAGCCAAAAAGTTCTTCCCCAGGAACAGCCGATCTGGCCTCGTGTTCGTTCTCGTTCGTTCTCGTTCTCTCTCTCTCTCTCTCTCTCTCTCTCTCTCTCTCTCTCTCTCTCTCTCTCTCTCTCTCTCTCTCTCTCTCTCTCTCTCTCAAGTGCCTTCCGCTTCACCACCCCCTCCGCCCCTGACTCAGTACCCTTCCCCAAGAGCCGGTACCCCGAACAAAAAGAGTAGCTCACTGCTCTCACCCCATAGGCGACCAAGCTTGGCCAGCCCTCCGCAGGCAGGGCCAACCGGGCGCGCTCCCTTTGTTACCAGCCCCTCCGTACAGATGGTGCCCTGCCCGGGTCTCTGATGTGAGCGAATGGGAAGGTGGAAGGGGGCGCTGAGACTAGGAAGGGGGGGGGGGAGGCAAGGGGCGGGGGACTGGGGGCACAAGGACGGAGGGGGGGGAGCGGCGGAGCAGCCAATCAGCCCTCAGCCCATCAGCTGACCTGTTTTGCTTACACCAGGTGCACGCTGGCTGCGGGCAGCACAAAGCCGAGGGAGAAAGCGAACGAGCGAGCGCACGGGTGGGCAGGCAGACCGAGGCGGCAGCCGCGGCCCCGTCAGCACCAGCGCCAGCCTGGGCATAAGGACCGGGGGCCGGCAGCACCAGCAGCATACGACAGTCACATCCCCGCCACCGCGGGCACCCCATCCAAGGAGCCTGCGGCTAGACTTGGCCGTCACCTAACTGGGGGAAGGAAGCAGCTGTGTCCGCGGAGCCCCACCCCCTCCAGCCCTGCACTTCCCCCCCCAAGACAGCCAGTTCTGGCTCCCCAGCCCTGTCCCCTCGGCTCCAGGAGTCCCTGTGCAGCAGCTGTTGAATGTGTCGCTGCTCCCCGGAGCCCTGCCATCCCCCGGGCTCCCTGCCTCTGGTGCCGGGGTCGGGTGCGCGCTGTTGCTGCGGACTGGGTGGCTCAGCTCAGTCCAGCCTCCGTCAGTCCTCCCCCGCCACTCTCCAAACCCCCCCCCCATCCCTCCACGCACACCCGGCGCCGGGTCGGGCCGGGCTCCTCTGCGCCGGGCCTCTCTGGGTAAGTGCGACGTCCCCTTGGGGACCCGGGGAGGGAAGTCGCGGTAAACTTAGCTGAATGTACCGCAGGAGTCCGGAGGCTCCGGGGACGTGGGTCCTGCTGAGGGATGCAGAGGAGGTGAAAAGAAGAGTGGTACGCCGGGGGTGGCGGGGGGAAAGGGAGAACGAACGGAGGAGGGGTGAGAGGGGTTCTAGATAGAGAATACCCATAAGATTAGAGAGAAGGAAAATGTATGGGGGTAGGGGGAGTGAGAAGAGAGGAGAAAAGATCCCAGCAAAGAAAAGGAGAGCGTTGCGAGTTAAAGAAGAGAAAGGGGGAGAGTGGAACCGGAGAGAAGAAAAGAAAGAGGCAGAGAATAGGGAAGAGGAAGACTGGGTTTCAGGGATGGGGGAGGGAAATATCAGGGGATAAGGAGAAAAGGGGGATGCTGGGATGTGAAGAAGGCAGCAGAGGATGGAGAAGAAAGGAAAAGATGGAGAGAAAGGGAATTAGTTGAAGAGGGAAGAACTACTAAGAAATATGAACTGAGAAAAGGAAAGAGACGGAAGGATGAGGGAAGGAAAGACCGGCGTTTGAAGAAGGGGAGGTCATTATTACAGCCCTAGTTAACACGGGGGAAGAAGGTGCTGAGATGGGGAGGGAAGAGGTTCTCAGCTACGAAACAGCTCAGGATCGGAACAGGCACACCTGAAAATATTCTGAGTATGTTGGAGTGCATTTTTCTCTGTCCTTAATATCTAAACCTAAAAAGGGTAGTTGGGGAGCCCACAGTCTAGGGATGCCTGTGATTTTAGGGAAGCATCTTCTAAAGGAGCTGCATGGACACTGCTGCCAACCCCACTCCATCAGGGAAGTCAGTAAGGAAAGTTTGCCAGCAAGTGTCCTTTGTACTGCCTGGAGAGAAGTGCATAGGAGAGAATGCCAAAGAGCCAAATGAGCATCCCTCCTTTCTTTTCTCTCCAATTCCTTCTCTAAAGAACTGTTTGTCTGGGTGGGATTAGGTATCACAATGTCTCTGCATTGTAAAAAAAAAAAAAAAAGGAGTTCAGCAATAAATGTCATCCACTGGGTCTGTCTGAGGGTCTATGATTACCAAGAAAGTGGGGGGGGGGCGCTGGTGGCTCAGCTTAGTACCTCGGACTGACTCGTATATTAGATCTCAGCGAAGGGTTAACAGTGAAGCCTTACACTCATGATGCCAGTGCATCGGCTTAGACCACAATATAATAGCTGAGACAAACTCACCTGATAAAGTGGGCAAGACTTGGAGAGAAACATTTCTTTTTCTAATTTCAATAACAGAAACTACTCTGCTGAAATAACTTTTTACATGTAGTTTTCTGGAGAAAAAGAAGACTTTTGTTTTTCGTTTAGCCATTATATTCTCACGATTTCACATCATCTGCTTATGCTAGAGAGCTTAGCCACCATACTAGTTTGTATTTTTTTTAAAGAATTAGTTCATCGTGAGAATAGTAAGTTCAGGAACGAAGTCTGAACACCATAAATATAGAGTAGAAGTGATGTTTGGCTACCAGGACCATGTGTGTCCCTAAGTCTCTGATTTGCATGCAAATGTGAGTGTATCCTGGCAGATGTCTTGCCTCATCCATTCACATGAAGGAATTTTAAAAGACAAGGAGTCTTCAGTCAACAATGGTCCTTAAGAAAAGGGAATAAAGGCTCAGTGTGAGTTTTTCTGTTTGGGAATTGTATGGCTTGCTGTCACCTTTATTCAGGAGCCAAATTCTTTGAGTGCTATTGTATTAAAAGCTCAAAAGTAAAGCTCACTCCCTACCTGGCTGAATGTATCTCATGTAATATTTAGACATTACTTTCTGGATCAGTAAATATGGATTTTTATGAAGCAATGTGCACTTAAAGCTGCTTTTGATGCTGGGAAGTGGTTTCATAAACCTGCTTTTTCAGATTAGTTAAATGTATTGTACAAGTATTTAAGTGCATGCTATGTGTAAGGCACTGTCCCAGGTGCTGGGAATGCAATGATCATTCATTATAAGGAAATTGAGCATCCAGGGGGTGTGGTATGAGATCAAACAAGGTTTTATGGAAAAAAAAAGGCAACATTTAGGACGTTCTACCATCCCTACATATACACTCAATAGATAGATAGACAGACAGACGGACACGTGGAAAGATCCCTATTTTGTATAGTTGTGTAGTTACTAACATTGCTGGTGACCTCCCTGGAAACATTAACCATCTGGCTAAAAGAATCTTGCCTCTAGCTTCTCCCGAAGTACAGCTCATGTCCTGCTTGCCAGGTCCTTCCTATAGGGGGCCTTTCCTGATTGCACTACTGCCTTAACCCACCCCAGTTATTAGCACTTCCTCCCTCTTGAAATTGCTGTGTGTGTGTGTGTGTGTGTGTGTGTGTGTGTGTGTGTGTGTGTGTATGTGTATGTGTATCTTCCCTAACCCACAGGCTCCCAATAGTCTGTAAGCCCCATAAGGACAGGTTACCCCCAGGACCTTATATGAACTTAATAAACGTTTGCTGAATGAATGCCTGACTGCCTGATCTGTAGAATAGGTAGTGATATACAATCGCCACACTCTCAGGTCCCTTGGCCATTGTATGTGTCTAGGTGTAAGCACCATAGATTGTAGAAGTTTGTTAAGAATTATGCAATTCAGAGGGACGACAAAGCAAAAGCTTCCCTCCATCTTTGCTAACATTAGCTTGATAGACAACACTCGGTGCACTGTTCACCTCCTGGTATTGTGTAACATCGGGTACAAAGGGTTTGCAGCATGGGCTGCACGTGAGGCTGGATGAATACACCTAGTAATGTGCCAGCACCAGTTGCCTCTTCCTTTGTCGGGTCTCAAACAGTGTCCAAGAGTAAAAGGACCTATTCTATTCATGAAGAAGGGGTTTGCTTCACTATTCTATAGCTTCATTGAAAGGACATTAAAAAAAAAGAAGACAGCATTGTGTTGGAGGGTTCAGTGTTATGAGGGGGAAAAAACAACAGATGTTAGTCTGCTATTCTACATTTCCTTAAAATATTTTGTGCTGGTTCAGTGCCTTTTACCCATAAGACAGGGTTCTCTCAGAGAAAAAAAAATAAAAATTAATCTGATTTAAACAAGAAAAAGTTATAGTCCACAAATGCTCAATCATCTAAGAAAGTGTACATTTGGAGGGAGGTGGGTATCTTAGAGATGTCATGTATAATTTTTAAAAATCAGACTAGATTGCTCATAGGGAAAATAGGGACTACATTCCTTACAGACTGAAAAGATACATGAAATAAACTTGACATTTCTAAACTAAATGATAAGCTTTTTTTGTTGAATACCAAAAAATGGAGGTGTTTGTGAAATAACTCTAGTAGCTTTAAAAACTACCCAAACCCCCTAATTTAAATGAGAACCTGCTTCTAGGATTTAGCCTTACAGAGCAGTTAGGTGATGATGCTGGACTTGAGGCAAGGAAGACATGGATTCAAATTCCAGGCTTATAATAGTCATGTGACCCTGGGCAAGTCACTTAGGTTTCAGTCTCCTTATCTATAGAATAAGGGTAATCATGCCACCCACCTTATGGCAGTTTTATGAGGATCAAATGAGCTCACAGATATAAAATGCTTTATAAATGTGAACTGTGATTACTACCCATTTTCTAGAAACCATTTCTTTAATAGATGTAATTAAGTAAAAAAAGAAGTTCAAAAATCTGACCTTGGTAAGTTGTTAAAGGTAAAACAATGTTAGAAAAGTCACCCCACAAAGCAGAAGAGGATTTATGAAACTAGATCCATCCATTGGCCCTACTTCAGAATCATAATTACAGATAACAATGGCCAGGCCAGAGATTCTGAAAAATCAAGGGACATAGGCAGAACTGAGAGCACCTTGTTGTTGAGGCTAGTCACTTTTTTTTAACCTCACCAGCTATAGTAATTAATGCTGAGTTGTTTAATTGCAGCAATTCTTAACTTTTTTTGTGTTGTGGACCTCTTGGGAAATCTGATGAAGTCTATGGACCCTTTCTCAGAATAATCATTTTAAATGCACAAAATGCATGGGATTACAAAGGAAACCAATCATATTACAGTACAGTTATTGAGTATTAATGATAAACAAGTCCATGGACCATAGGTTGAGAATTCTTCTTTTAGGATCATAGGATTTCAAACCAGAATGGACCTTAGGGATCACTGAATCCAAATTATTCATTTTATAGATGAGGAAATTAAGGGCCAGAGAGATGAAGCAATTTGCCTAAAGTACACACACAAGTAACAGAGCCAGGTTTTGAACCCAAGGTCGTTGACTCCTTAGAAGAAGGGTCATTAAATTCAATAGAATTTTTCTGCAGTTTCACAAAGTTGGCTGGTAAAATAAATTTGTTGATTATAAATGCCAGTGAGGAATCTTACGGTCATGAAGAAAAATATGGTAAATTATAAGGCATGAAATTCATTTCTTTAGACTTTCATAAAGCATTCTTAAAATTACATTTTCAAGTCATGAAATAATAGGCTTTCTCTGATTCGTTTTGAAATTTAATATAAGGTTGTTCAAATATTGTATTTAACATTTTTTAAAATGGTGCTGAACATCTATTTTTGGTGTAAGCCAATCTGGAGATAAAACATTCCATTTTAGAATCATATTTCAGCTCCTAGAAACAATGGAACCATCTTTAACCAGTGAATAGAACTTTGATTAATATTTACTTAGGGTAAGGTTTAGCATATGAAGTTGAAATTACATTTAAGCAGTTAAAATCATGCAAAGCTAAATATGTTTGGTCTCATTTGCCTCAAAGCAGCATAGAAAGAAGATGCCATTTAAGTCTTATGCTTAAAACCTAAATACTTTAGGGATTCAGGGGGAAAATTGCCCACTCTAATGATGGTAAAAGCTGGTCTCACTTAATTTCTCTGTACATGTTTTGATTGAAAGTAATTCATCAGTATACTTCTTCTATGTCTCTAGTAGTACAATTAAACTTATTCCCAGGTATT